GCCTTCAACAATTGAAGCTTAACGAATTTTGCAAACTATTTTTTTTTGAATTTAAAACACGCTTACGCTGCTGTTCATTTTTAATACACACAAAACTGTGCCATTACAAAATACTCTTACCTAAAAGGAAAATTTTAAACAGTGATGTTTAGAATTTTAGAACATATAGAACAAACATAATATTGATCCAGCTGTTACCCATCACGTACATTAACCGCACTTCCAACATTGTGAAAGTGAAACGAATTCGTTGTATAAAATAGCACCTCTCAAAGGTGTCAGTTTTAAATCATTCATATCAACTAATCAGACGTCAATTTGTACAGATGCATTTTTTGGTGTAATTCATTGGCAAGATGATTTTGTGAGTAACGAAAACCTCACAGTATAACAACACATAAAACATTATTTATATTCGCAAATGTCAATATATTAAATTATCAAACAGAAAAATAACGATAAAACAGTGCGACGAGATTAGTCATATTCAAAGAGCGGTCAGTGCACAAAAATATTCAATAAGATTCATTAACACATGCTCGAGGCACTACCGCACAGAGGGCTGTTCTTATATTATTACTATTAAGATTACGATTATTGAGAAAATAAAAACAGTGATCATCACCACCATTATTATTCATTTCATTATGATAGTCATATGGGTCAACCAAACGAGCTTTGAAAACAAACAAATTGCGCACAAAAACAGAGCTAATTGGCCCATTAAAAAAAACAACCAATGAAAGTTGATCTTAACTCATAACAGCATCTGGTTATCCGATGTAACGATTAGTTCTGAAGCCTAAAAAAATCATATGAAAAGTTCCTCTGCAAAGTAGTGCCGAAAATTTCCGCTTTCCACATTTGTTTACGATAAAAACAACAACAGGATTAACTTGCTTACTTAACTACTGAAAATTTAAAAAATTTCCGATTGGTTTGGTTGTTTCTTATTGGGAGTATAATAGTAACGTATTCATGAAACGATTACAACCATCATCATTTTAGTCGTTTTAAACAACCTTGACCTGTTTTCACAAATACACCAAATTCACTGGAAAAAACCATTTCCAAGCTTGCAGTCAGTCACTTAATAATATTCACATTCGTATCACCACATCCACATCAATCAGATTTTACAGTTCACACCTGAGCATAATTTGCAGAATGCTCATATTGAACAGTTGCATACGACAAACGATGAAAATGGTTGTACTCCTCGCTGTTCATTACTTGAAATCATACGAGTTTAATAAACAAAACTGACGTAATAAATTAGGACATCAGCATGACAGCATATGGAATAAAACGAACAAGGTATTGAAAACATCAACAAGAATAATTACAGTGCAAATAATAACGATATTAATAATGTAAATAATAACGAAACATCTTTAGCAACATTATAACAAAAAAAGAAAATTAGAGTGAAAATAGCAATGCAGCGGAATCAAATGAGAAGAAGCATCAATAAGGATGGTGATGATGATTACGGAAAATAGATTCAATGAAAATAATGACAACGAGAAGTTGCAAAAAATAAATAGGAAAAAGCAAACAAACATATAAATGAATAACTAATTAAATAATCAGGTTGTGCCGAAAATGATCGAGCCAAATTCGTTTCTAAGCGGTAGCTGGCTCAATAAGACAGCAGACAGTCGCTACGACGGATGAATTGTTAAGAGTTTGCAAACGATTGCTTCAATTTTGGTTGGAACTGGAGGAAAAGTATAGAGAGATTAAGCATCGACAATGATTAAGCAATGCAATAATATGCAAATGTAACTGTTTTGAACTGTTTGCAGAACTAATCTATGGCTACGAGCCCGTAACACATATGCATGCATCCAATGTTGCACCCAACAACTGAAAAGTTTCATCATCAGAACGTTTAAACTTCAATTAACAAACGATTATCACACCCCGAGGAGGGGTATTAATATGATCAGTATGCTAATACGCTTATCTTTCCATAATACCCGCTTTTAAATGCACTGCCAGCGATCTGCCGATGAAAGCGATTGATCAATTCTTACTCTTGGCTGCATATCAGTCGTCTATTTATCAATTGTTAAACAGATCAGCATATTCAAACTGAGTCCACCCCCTAAAACGACAATCATAATGACCGGAGATCGAGATCTGTGGGCTGTTGTCTCTGCTACTCTCGCCTCGCCATTATCATCTTCCATACTACATGTGTCACGGTCATCCTCTTCGTCATCATAATGCCTGCGTGTGGTCTTCTCGTTCGCCTTAGCTCAGTGAGTTGGGATCAGTGGAAGAGTCGAGTGAACAACATCTACTAGATGTTTCACATATAAATTAATGTGAGATAATACGATAAGAGAAAAAAGAATGAAGCAAGAATAATGTGTGTAAGATGTATACGAAATCGTTGTGAGCATAATCATGAGAGCGCAATATGATAGAGAAAGAATAAGAGACGAGACGATATCCGATACACAACAGTAGCAATCATAAACAACACAGAATGCTTGTGAAATGAGAGTGAGCGGAGTGGAACGAAAATGAAATCGAGGAAAAAGAAGCATCGACAAGAAACAAGCAAGTAGCCAGAGTAGATGAACATAATGACGATCGAGAAATGAAAGAAGAGAGAATGTTACAATTCACAGCAACATCGTATGAAACGCAGACAAACATGGACTTCATTTGGATTAATTCCAACTACGTGATGTGCTGCTGCTGGGCGGTTTGTGTGGAAAGCTCAGCGATACCACGATAAATAACACTAACGTGTCGAGAATGCATCACCCCTCCTTCCCACTTTGAAAGTTAAATTCTCTATTTGTTGTTCCTCAACATAAATCCAGAAAAAGTTGTTCTGAACTCTCAATTAACACTACCGACAAATCGTTCTCCATTTTGAGGAACTGTAATCGATGATGGACACTTGCGAAAAGAGTGAGCACGAAAACGAATTAGTATACTAACAATGAAATCACTAACAACCTTTCAATTCAGTTTCAACCGGAGCAACAGTTCCTAGTCGATTATTTCAGTGCAACAATTTCGAAGCAAATCGTCATCAATAATCCATGTTTGCAGCCTTTTGTTTCAACTTAATTCACGCCACCCTACAGTATTACACCATAGTTTTAATAAGAAGAAAAAATAAAATACTTATCTAAAAATGCTATTTACACTCAAACTTCCACATTAAACAGTTGAAAATTGAAATAGGAATCAGTTATGATAAAACTGAATAAATGAAGAAACAACGGAATAAGTTCAAATGAAACCAACGAACGAACATTTCGAAAGTTACAAAACGTAAATAATATCAAGTAACGTGAGGAAGAAATAACAAACATTATAACTTATATCACTCTCTGCTAACAATGCACAGAGCTTATTTACAAACAATAACTTAACAATACATATCAACTCAATCATAACGTTTCAATATGTAACTTCCATTAGCGTTACAATACAACAAGCGAAATTAACTTCACGCGAACCCGATCAATACATTTGCCAAGAAAGGTTTTTCGACATAATTGTGCAGCGCTCGAACGGACCGACCACTGTTAATCGAATGAGAACTTTCATTACATTCGAATCCGATTCATTTTATCGCTTACAAATGACAGACACTGATAAAAATGTGCGAAGACTAACCAAAATCCACCCTGACAAACGAGAAAATAACCTTGTATAAACATGACTGTCGCATCAAATCTAACGAGCTCGTTCACTTGAAATGTGTCACTCACTTATGTAACAAATGAGACGTAACTAAAAAGTATCGATAAACCTGAGATGTCAATTGATAAGGATCAACTGACGTGTCTTTATAACGTTTACGAAGGTAGTAGCGATATTACTCAAGAAAACTGGCATCATCAATAAATATTATGTCATATCACATATGCAACTCTGTTTCAGCAGCAGTATGCAATAAATATAACATTTCCAGCAAAGAGATGAACCACGAGACTGAATTCACATTCAAGCTGAACAGACGAAGTAGTTGAGTGCAAAAAATTCAAAAACTGAAATGAACAAACGATGCGACCGGCACAGCTTTGCTCAACAGAACATCAAGTTTAAATACACTTTTCTCATGCATTCTTCAAAACAAGTACTTCATCTTACAGATCAATACTTTTGAAATGACACTCATTTGACTTTTAAATTCTTGACACCAAAATGCTGCGAGAAACAGTCGAAAAGTAACAATTTCAAGAGGTTAGACTCGACTGAGAAAAGCGCTTTTGTAACGATATAAAATATTTGGTGCAACATTTCTGGCAAATGACAACTGCAATGATTTGGCCCGTTAAAAAGGTGCTCGTTGGGTATGACGCGAACTAAAAAACGCTTCATTTTCCATATAGGCAATCGAGGACAAGCAAACATTCTAAAATTCTAAATCGAAAACGAACAATCTGTAACAGCCGAAATGCATACCCAACAAGATGTTCGCATGACAATCAGCATTATCAACCATTTGATGATGATTATGATTTCGTCTCCATTTACGATCACAACAATATAAATACGCACAAAAAATGAATGCTCTATCGATAAAAACTAAATCAACGAAAAAACTTCCTCTCTCACTGGCAAAAGATTGATTCAACCCATTTATCTTCACCATTACAGGCGTCATCATTCCACAAAATTAATTTTTCGTTTCTGAACAAATCCAGCAACTTCATAAAATTTGTCTCCCGATTTGCTATGGAGCAATGAGCTAAACTCAGATTGGGACAAGCGATCAAACGACTAGTAAGGTATCATACAGTTCCGAACATCTGAAGCATGCCTCAAGCAATTACTAACCTCTGAGGTATACAAACAACAATCAATCACTTTTAATAATAAAACATAGTATTTTGAATACGCAATTCATCAATCTGCATTCATAAAATACATATAAAAACATTACGCTTGAGACGGCCCTGCGCACAGCTTGAAGAATAAAGAATAACGAGAGAGATTCATTGAAGAAGGTTCTGTGTACTTATTTATGAGAAATATCCTTCACCAGTACTCTCTTCTTTTGTGCCAAAATGTTTCAAATCATCGAATAAACTCTGCTTTATCTTGGAGATTTCACTCGCTTCTTCCTGAAATGGGTGCTTGGAAAAGCTTTAAAATATAATTTAGAATGTAACAAATACAAACATAAAACAGAAATGCATGTATTTTCGAGGAGTATTCCCAACTGGATAAGCTTGCCTCACGTTACTACCAATTTCCGGTATGCGATGACCATAACTTGCAGCGAAACAGACTAAGCTCTATGTCATCTTACAGATTATTACACAAACGTCGATCCAACCGACGGACAAAAATTTCTTCGGTTGAAGTTGGATCAAGCACTTAATTATCTAACATAACTCAAGTTAGTTGGTGAAGAAGTTTTGCAGCTGAATAGGTTCACAAACAAAGTTTTGTTCGATTCAGCCGGATCACATTAAAATACCTCAACGTAAGGTAATTTCAACTAAAATTTTTTGACTTTACGAACAAAACATTTCTGTTGAAGAGGGTACGAAGAAGCTAATTTCAGAACAACTTGAGGAATTAAGATTAACACGAGAGGCTCGCCTTTTTAAGAGCAATAGGGGGCGACAATGGGTACAAAATCAAGACCAACTTGGCCTCCAACATTGCCACCACCCGCCGGCGCTCCACCCGAGTTTCCGCCTCCTGCGCCTGCTCCAGCACTTTGACTCCCGCCTCCTCCACCACCTCCAGATCCTCCGCTCTGTGAGTGCACCGACCCCGGACCGCCCACTCCTGCTCCAGCTACTGATCCTGGTCCTCCGACGGGTGCTTGACTACCTGCATTAAAATAATTGAAAAAACATAAAATCACACTTGCAAGAGATATTGCATTAATTAAAGAACGTGGTTTTGTGAAAAGAATTGTACTGTACATGCTTCTATAATGAATACGTAACAGCGATTATACAATCTAAATAACACACCAACATCTTGAAGCAGTCTCTATTTTATAACCATAAAACAACAATATCCGTATAACAATGATATTAATAACCTGGCCCTCCAGCAGCACCCGGGGTTCCTCCATTAAGACCACCATGTGTTGATGCAGGCGACTGCTTCATTTCGTCACCATTCAAAAGCGAGTTCATTTGAGGTTCAGACGCCGCTACTGGTGGTCCTGCCGATCCTCGACCCCCTGCACCTGGCGTTATACTCCCCTCAGCTCCGTGCATCCCATACTAAAACACAACTGCCAAATAATCTCACTGTTCTCGATCGAACACAGTCAACAATTCCACTATACCTACGAATGATTATCATTGGAAATTCAATGAAATTGAATGCAGAAACTTACAGGCATAGCAGAGGCGGTAGACATCATCATATATCCCCTAGGATCTGGTTGCCCATCAGGCCCAGTGGGTAAGGGTCCTTGTGGACCCGGCGACGACATCATTGATGGCGCAGATGAACACATGCCGCCGTTTGGCATCATCGCATTCTGTAAAGTCTGTCATCACCACATTTATTACTGCGTCAAGTTTAAATCACACTTTTAGTATGATAATAGGACTAGTCTCGTGAACGACTTATCCATAACAAAAGCAATTATACATATAGGCTCAAAAGTTCAGGCAACAAAACTTTTGGATTAAAAAAAAAACGCTTTAGTAAGGGAAAATCAAATGAAAAACAAATATGAGCACTGCCAAGTTTTTAATATGCAGTACATCATCAAAGTTGTGCGAATCATGCGAAAGGGAAAAGTAACTACGAGCAATGAACGAAGAAAGATCAAAACTAAAACATCAAACCGTACGGGAGGAAATGGTGTTCCGGTGGGTGAGTCCATATACATCTGCGAACTATACCGCATCGGTCCGTTTGGCCGCATTCCAGGGAAATTCTAAAATAGTGAAAGCTTTTTAGAACAGGCTTAATGCTGATAAACCATCAAAGAATCATTTTGGTTAGAGCAACGATAGCCATCAGAAATGTCTTGATCTGCACTGCATAAAGTCAAATGCCGTTCTGTAAGATCACATTCACTTTGTTGATGGAATTCATGAAGAAGACGAATATATGAAAGATACTTAAACATGACACGTTTCTTGCTCACCTCAAAAGGCTTTTTTTTTGTCAAAGACTCATTTGCGATAGGAGAAAACAAACCGTTGGCATGCGCATAGGTCCGGCGTTAGGAGGTAACCGTTGTGGCTGCATGGGCCGCATTTGATCAGCACCAGCGAACATATGAGGCGGTCCTCCAGCCGGGAATCCTGCGCCCGGAGGCATTCCTCCCGGTCCCGGCGGTCCATTCCGTGCACCCGGCATCGCATAACGTGGAGGTACTGGTGCAAAACTTCCTGAAGGTGGAACTCCTGAAAATCTTTCAGTTTCTCATGAGCAATTCAAGCAGAATGCACAACAATGGAAAAATCATGGAGAAAACAGTCAGTCCAGTCCATTAAATAAAAGCATTGCCAACTATCACCTTGTGCAGCATGATAGTTGTGAGTCATCCGAGATGAATTGGCATGTCATAGAACTACTGGTTTGCGGGATACAATAACAATAATGTTGAGTAGGTCCAACATATACAAAAGGGGATAATTGCGAAAGCTAATTCTCACCGGATATGGGCGACGCTTGACTGGTTGAACCAGATGGTCCGGGCTGACCGGATCGAGGAGGGTAGTAACCAGCTGGCATCATACCGTCTGGACCTGGACCAGGCCCCATTCCTAAGGGACTAGGTGTTGCCGAAGGAAACTGCAATTTGGATATAGGTTATAGAAAATTATGAGATTATCGCGTTGATAGGATATCATTGAAATCAATAAAACTCACACAAATGGTGATTGTCCTTATTTTAGTAAAATGATGACCATACCCATGGTGACAACATTCTGAATTTGAGAACAAAATCGACAAAGATAAGAAATAAACGCATCTGTGGAGAGTTGATTACAAAAAAGGAGCTGAAACACGACTCGCCTGTCGGTGGAGACAACATTTGCGATCGAGAATATTTTGAAATGAGATGCAGCAGATTTTTTAACAATAAATTCACAAGATTGTACGATATGAATGAATGACATGCGACAGCAGTATTTTGAATACATTAAACTCAACCAGGCATCACTACATGATGTATGATATTATTTCGATTGAATCACCAATAATTCTGACATCTTCACATTTATAAATGTAACTGATAAAGACGTTGCGTGCTTTGAATGATTATTTCTACTGTACCAGACTTCAGTCAATCATATATACGAGATATAGGTGTCGGAAAATATGTCAACTCGCCGAGATATGATTGAAGAATTCAAATTCAATTTTCACTCCTTATCTGAGTAGATTCAGAGGCATTCAGTTGGCCATTGAACATCATGTTTTGTTAAACGGAGAATTGCACTTTTTTTACAAGCGTTTTTAGTTTGCCTTCCTGAACACTTTACCTTTCACGTGATATTATTTTCTATCAACTAATTTTATGAATTACACGTTACTTCGCATAATGTAGCAACTCTTTGAAATTAGCCTTCATTTTTTGTAAATGTTTTGTTGTATTTTCGACAACTTAATTCAATTTCAATTACCCATATCTTTACGGCATATTATTCGGTTCACTTCCTCAATTATGTCTTTCTCTTCTTCCCCCTTTCATGAGCGATGCTAACTGCATCCACTCACAATATTACATATTGTTCTATCTTTTCTCTTCCCCACGTCACAATAATTTGGTCATCATCATATCGCTCCACACAAACGAATACACACAACCAAACCAAATACGCTGCGCGACGCGATCTCCGTTCACATTAGACGCAAGAAACAAGTATGTTTAGACGTATGCGTGCGTCCCTTGTACCAACAACTCGAATGACATTAACCGACTCACCGATCAGTTGCAGCATACCGTCATAGCTAGGCCACCCACCCTTCCAGTCGTCCATCTAAGACCCAGTAAATGGTGAATGATTGTGAATAGGTGAGTGGGGTCAACATCAATCCCAAATTTTCACCTATCACATCACATCTCACCATTCAGTCATACTAACGAAGAAACTGAATGAACAGAAAACAATAACGGATACAACATGCCATCAGCAGCAAGCACACGATATTACTCAAAATTATAGCGTCTTCTAATTCTTTCACAACATTTTTTACTTGCGGTCTTTATCACTAACTTCCTCCACTTCAATAACTCAGTTCATAATCTTTCATTCTTACTATCAGTATCCATTCATCTTGTAAATCTGCAACGACTGATCTGATCTCTTTGTTCGTCACATCAGATCGTAGTCATATTATAAATATGAAACAATAGGTCACATCATTCCTTCAAATGGTTCTGAACAAATGCAAGTGCCAATTAAACTCTCAAGAAAGTTATGCTCCAACATCCATGCTACGTTTCAAAGATGGGCAGTAGCGCGTTAGCCAAATGGTATCGCTACGTAGCGGTAGCCCATCTCCATTACTCATCCTATAACTTACTAACGAGAATCGTTCACGCACTCACAAATAGTAATAATGCACCAACATGAAATGCTTCAAAATGCAAACTAAATAGATCTTAATGAAGACGCTTGAATCAGATGAATATTCGTTGTTCACCTTAACAACAAAAACCGGTAACTGTTGGAAACCTTTTATGGAACAACACCCAACTATCTAGTTATTCTGTTGCTCGGAGCGCCAAACAAAAAAAATCAAACAATCTCTGTTGCATCGAAAAATTCATCCCTGATAATGATAATAATAACTATTCATCCGCGCGAGTATCAATGTAAGTACACTTTCGATCAATAACACAGTGTGTACCTATTATACCTCCCAGAACACTCACCACTTACAATCAAAAACTCAGATTTCATTCGTTAATTTCGCAGTCATCTATATAATCTGAACTATTACTCTAATATATAAACATTCTATGTATAACAAAAATGCGCCTGTTTTAGTCTCATGGGTGAAAAAAAAAACGATCGATTGTTCATCCGAACACTTTAACATAAAGTTTTGTCATCTGTTACAGTCACCAGTGACCCACTATACTCATAAAACTTTTCCAATGAATAAATCATATTACGGAGAAAAATGAGACGTCTGAGATGACCTACCGAAACAATAACTTGGTGGATTAATTTAGCAGCGAACAGCTAGATTTTACTGCCAAGTGTTGCGCATTTACTTTTGTTTAGATAAAAGGATGGCAATGAAACAACGGCGAAGTGGAGATAACGGATGAACTGACACTTCCATCTGTGACAGAACAGTACCTTTACAAGGCAAAAAAGGTGTTTGTCGATGCTAACTACACATATGAATAATTTATCGTGAGATCGATTATTGAGCCAAATGATATCCCCAGTAAAGAATAAATTCAACCGCAGAAGTTGCAACAAAGTCTTCATTCTCCTTATAAGAGGTTGTCAGAATCTTCGAAGCAAAAATGTTGAAAGCTGCCTCGATTTATTTTTTTATCTACTCCGCTAATTAATGCAAATTATGTATATATCTCCCCCTTCCACCCCCCCCAATCACTTCTATTATCGTGGTTGACTGCTCTTCTCATCCACATTTGGCCCGTGATCTTGCATATGTGGTCTCGCCATCTCATTTTCGGTTGGCTCCAACCACCTTTCCTAAGTCTAGGCTGTCAATTCGCGCATCTTTTCGCCCAGTTGTTATCGTCCATTAGCACTACTTTCCTCGCCCGTTTAATTTTCTTTTCCCTTGCACATTTTACAAGTTCCTTAATCTTCGCTACCCCTCTAAGCCGTTGAATTAAATTCCTATCCTATAGACTCCGGCCAAAAAGTTGGAAAGCAAAACTGCCAGAGAATAGTTCCCTGACAAATACTAATCGAAGTTCTTGTACTGACTGACGCTGGATAGATTCAATGCAATTTTTCGTGCATTTTTTTCTATTCTATGGCAATTTTTTTCTGTTATGATGTTTCTCTAGGTTCCAGAAAACCGTGCTGTATTCAGTTGAACCACACGAAATATTCAACCTCGATGAGAGGCTTTCAAACATTATCACGGCTTTCTACGATGCTATTGTCTCTGTATAGGAGTGTCTGAGCCCAACACTTTATCCTGATATCGTTCGATGAGCATGGGCGGATTGCAGCATTGACAGCGTGTGCCATGACGTAGCTTGAACTTATGAATAAAAATTTTTTGAATACACTTTCTCGCTGTCATCCTTTCTACAGCTTAAATAGTACAGCAAAAGCATAAAAGCCTTGGAGCGTGACTTTGCAATTTTTCATGGTGCACAACGTCACCTATCTCAATCGTCAAGATTCTGCTTGACAGAAAATTTGGTCGCAGATGAGAGCAATATTAGTTCCGTATCAAACAGGTTCAAAAAAAATTGTATTTTACTCAGCAATGATAATCGACGGTATTTCGAATCCCCAAACTCATATCCATGAAAACACAAGCAATCATTCAATGAACACAAACTGCAATGAATTCAGCCACAACTTTTACAAGCGAAAGAAGGCACGGGAAGACGAATTATATGCGAAAGTTAATACACGCTTCATTTTAATATCGACGAGAATTTTATTTGAATCAATTCGTTTAGAAACCGGCACTCTTGTCAAAAATTCAATGGTACCGCGCGAAAATCGTCCTCATCTAAAATACACCGGTTTACATTTTGGGTATGCGAGTAGAAAGCAACGAGAACAGTATTTAGGAATGGAATATCGTCAGACTGAAGAACACCTAGAAATATGACGACGTAACGTTAAATCAAGAAAACATTCGTGCAGTGCTAATCTTAAGAACTAAAAAATTGCAAAATGATGAAGTTGCGAGCCGGGATAATAACAATAACAATATCAATGATGATAATCGATGTGAATAATGAGTCCTTTTAGCAGCGGAGGGTCGATTAAATTACTATAAAAGAAATTACAAACTACCTAAACCATGCTACACCAATCTATTTACTTAAATGAATTTTGCAAATTTCACACCTCCATTTATACATGAACTGCTTGAAGTTTCAAAATTTCCAGAAGGGGCAACTATCAAACTTGAGTTATTTGCCTTATAAGTTCATTAAAATGGCATTCAGACTCGATATCGGTGCATAAATGGTACTCGACGACTTATAATCGCACTAAATGAACAAAATTCTTAAAGAAGTTGAAATTCTTTTAAAGAAAGTTTCAGTATTTTTAAATTGAACAATCGCATTAACTCCCAACAACAATAATCTGTTTGATATTCGACAAAATTCTCTAACGTACACTTATTGCATGCAGTACCTTCATCGGATCTATCTCCTATGCTGACTGCTTTTAAACTGTACATATGCAACACAAACACAACGATAATAAACGTTGAATTTAAACAGCACTTCAGTTCTGGGATTTATATCAGCATAAAGTGACCTTCAATAGACTCATGAACACGAGTGATAGTTGCCAGATGAACTCAGCTGTTTATAGGGCAGAGTTTACCGAAAAGGGATGAAAGCATTCCATCATGTGGATCAAGATGAACATTTCCGAAAAGTGTTGAGTTGCTAGCAGTAAGGTTGGCACAATTAAGCCAGAAATTGACATTGAACAGCATCAATCACATTGCTTTTGCACCATTCAAAACGCTTCGAAAATTATTGTTGAAAGCTACGCGATTTTATCCAACTTTCTAACCATTCGTACGGATTTAATGCTCTAGAGCAGGCATCGGCAACCCCCGGCCCGCGGGNCCCGCCGACAACAATTATCGGCCCGCCAGATGAATTTGATTTTAAAGGGGTAAAAAAGAAAAGAAAAAAGGTCTTAAATTATTTAGCTACCACACCCTAGATTTTCGACACAGAATTTCCTCACACATACATTTTCTCTTCAATTATGCCGATATGATTCGCTTACTTAAGTTTATCCACAATCATGTTCTGCTGTTGGCTATAATAGACAAGACATTCGAGATAGGTAAATTAGTCAACAGTAGCAGAAACGATAATTTTTAAAAATTCACGATGTTTCGAATGAACGCTTATATTAATAAATAAACGCAATCAATAAGATGAAACGTCTTTGAATGTCAGAAAATAATTACATTACAAACATAGAAGTGTTATTGAAACATTCATCAACATATCGAAATAGCCACCTAATTCGAGTCGAGTACTGTCAAATAAGAAAACAACGAACATAACAGACATTTCCAAAAAACAATTATAAATTGTAATCAGAAAGAGACCGCAATTTAGAAGAGCCTTTGAGAATCATAGAAATTTGCAAAGAATAAATTGATAAGGAAATACTGTAAAAAATTGTCAAAACTAGAGTTTGCAACCGCCTTATCTTACATGGTGTATAAATTGAAATAGCACGGAACGTAAAATGCAACTATGAAACACAGCCGAATAATTATGCACACGAAATAACCTGAACTAATGTCAGCATAAATATCAAAACAAAAAAACAACAACTTGCATTCCACTTACCAAATGTGAGCCATGCATTCCATTCATCATTGGTGCTCCAGCCGGACCTGGTGGTACGCCATGCGATGTGTTCATAAACCCCTAAAATCAAAAATTAAAATCGAAAATTCACTGAAACACCCAAACCAATCACAAAGAATAATTAAAACAAAAAGCACTCAAAAAATTCTTTCCCCATTCATCATTCATTAGAAAAGTAGTAGGTGTTTCTTCTTTGTTAAAGCACAAATACATTAAATATGCAAACAAACGCACGTATTCATGAAAAGCCTTCGCTTCTTGCGATGCCTCACAAGAATCTCGTCGTTCTGGTGCGGCTGAGTAAAGATCCCAAAACAAACTGAAATTTCCTTTCCGTTTCCTTCTATATACTCATTCAAAAATTTGCAGTTGATACAAACATTCCAATTAAGGAAGATGAAGTGAATGAAAAGAATAACAAAAGATAGCTGAATCGGATAGATCAACTCTTTAGAATCACCGCATACGATCACTGTACCACACTAATTATACTGCATAATTTAACAACTTCTAAACAAACTTGACATTAAATCCACCAAATCTCAATCGCTATTTACTGGCTCTTAATGAACTAATAATTATCGCACCAATTAATAAGTTATGCTTAGTAAGATGGCTATCAAATCCAATTTTATTTTCACTTGCAGCACATTCATTCAGCGCGAATTTCATCATACATCCTCTGCTCTTGAACTACGATTCGAAAAACGACATTCAGCTTGAAAAAATGGTTCGGATCGACTACAGGGTTGAAAATTTGGTGAGATGAACGCCGAGTGATCACAATTACTTCTACAGGCTGCTAATGACAATAATAATAGCAATCAATTTCATCAACAAATTCAGTGAATACAACGTGATCTGGGCGTAAATCAGATGATCTGATAGTGAAAAACGCAATTATTAATCGTTTTCAGGTTTCCTGAATATGTCGGGAATATCTGTTCATGATAACTATTTTTTGAGTGAAATCGACATTTATTGCCGAACTCAACGACTACATGCAACAATCAATCGAAAGCTGAATGTTCGTTTAAGATGAATTTAGCGATACAACTGATACAACCAAAAAAGGACAATAATTTGAGTAAAAATTTCAGTTGAACACCGAAGTTGAAAACACTTGTTGTCCCTACAGATAAAATGATCTAACGAACTTTATAAAACCATGAAACGTTCATACGACAAAACTACGAACTGCATTATTCCAATTTTGTTCAGAAAACGCCATGCAGTTCATCAACTATAAGTGCACATAATCAATTGAAAAGGAAACGATTAAGTTGAACATGAGAATTTGCTTACAAAAACCAATTTTGTAGGAATCCGGGGGCATCGCCAATATTCACCTGTTTCGCTACGTTGTTTTGCTGCAAAAAAAAAATACAGAATCAAAACTCACTTTCTGAAGGCTATGCCTCATGGAGAATACTCGACACATGAATGAGTTCAAGGTGATGAAAGCAGAATCTATTTTTTTGATAAAAATACAGTGACAAAATATACGAAATATAAAAAATTTATGCAGATTCAAAGTCAAAGTCTTTCTGCATTATATAATTCAAGTTGAAATTGAACAACTGAAAAAAGGGTTCGAGCATGAATTTACTACCGATAGCATCTCGCCTTTGAACGATTCGGCCGTTTTTGTTGCACCGTTGTGTATTAAATATTCGTAAACAAATCCTGCGAGTCTGAAAAACAACAGAATTAAGTGATTCCATTCCATCCATTGTATTTGAAAATCCAAAATATATTCGACTACTTACACAATTGATCGTAGCCATTTCGTGAGCCTTTCAAGAACATAAAAACTCATATATTCAGAATTGCTCAAAGACGTTCTCAGATTCGTGCGATTCACAATTTCGAGAAAATTTTGTAATCATAAAATAGACACAGTAAAACTATACAACATGCCCACGTTCTCGATAAAATTTATCGACGAACATTGGATATCACTGATTTAAGCTTGAGTTACAAGCATTTCAAAGAGCATAAGAATAAATGCTTGTCAAGAATGTGATGAGCTCTTAAAGGAAAAGCAACAGAATGAAGAACGGTAATCAAACACATACTTTTCTTTAGCAGAGGCTTCACTCTGACTGGTCAGTGTCTGTTGGGGTCGTGGAGCAGGTGGACCCTTTGGTTGTTGCGCGAACATTGTTCCCACCGGATTAGTATAAACCGTCAGCTTTGCACTATTGCCAGCTCAAACCCCATCCAAAAACATACCAATACAGTTTCTCTTGATTGTTTCTAGTGTGTCACTTAATTCTGTAAATATCAATAATCCTGACCATCATTACTGACCAATTTCATACATTCTAAAATATGCAGTACACAGATCGTAGCGAATAAGACTATCACTTGGCATTTAAATATATAATTCGAAACGATAACGTCAAAAAAATGATAGCAACAGAAATGACAATAAAAACTAACGAGGATAGTTATATTATTGTTAACGGAATAATAATCACGACAAATGCACTTCTATTTGATAATTTTTAAACTAGAATTAATTATAATAATTGATTCGCATGATATCCATCATGGATTGCATTACCCTTACATAAATACGCAAGGACAATGAGGTTTTGAAAATTAGTGAACCGCGGGCATCAAAATCAAGCAAAAAACATATCGCTAAACAAACATCCTTGGATACTAACTAACCATAAGGATACTACGATTTTAAAACAGCACAAAAGTGAGATCGTTCACAAATATGAAGCGCTAAAAAGGAGCTGTGCAATTCTTCAGTAAAGAACTAACAGGAATATGCTTCCTTGATAATTTTTTCGTTTCGAGTCAAATACGAAAATTCATAACTGTGTATGACCGATAATTCCAAAAGAAACTGACTGATATTTGTGAATTTTTCTTAATACAGTGATGGTCACAGTACTGATAAAAAATCTCACGTTACTGACTGAATTAATAATAATAAACCCGCCTGCAAAATCCTTACTGCCAAATAAAGATGCAGGACAAAACAGATTTTAAAAACTTAACTTGGCTTCGATCGTTTGCGACCACCTGTCACGAATCCAAAAATGAGTTCACGAGAATAAAGGATCATTTACGTAACAACAGTAAGACAAAAAATACGAAATATTAGCATGCAATCAACTTAGAATAAGAATAATGCTCTATTATTAACGAATCTGTTTGCATAACGAGAACTTTCAGAAAGCACACTTGACGATACCGTTACAGCAGATCGAAGAAATCGTGCAACAGAAACACTCGAAGAGAATAGAGAAAGAACGAATGACGAATGCGAACAACATGCAGATCAGTGTTATAATAAAGGCAGGATATGATGACCGACATGAAAAATACGTTCAATTATTGAAATTCCAATACTGCTTTCAATACTCAATCATATTCGTCTTTCAATAACTTCAAATTAAATCCATCCATCTCAAGTTCAATAACTTTGTCATTACTCTAAAAGTAACAGTAGCTAACACACCAGGTAAATATTCAAATTCCTCGGATTCACACTGATCATTAGCTGATACGTTCATTCGAAAATCACAGACGGGTGTTCTTTTCAAGTGAATTCCTTTTTTGAGCTAATGGCAGCTTGCGCAGCTTATACATACACCAATCACGATTCATATCAAGAGAGCCATTGTGCGTGTGTGATGTGAATGAAGGTTAATGAGGATGAAAATTATGTGAATAATAAAAGTGATTTAATGACGATTTATGTATATCAATAAATATAACACTACTATAAAAGATAGCCTCAGTGTTGATCTGAGCATTAAAACAATACTACTAGGCAGTTGAACATGACGAGATAAGAGTCATAAATCATAAAATCAATGAATAAATGTTGTAGTCGAACCGAAATAAAAAAGCCAAAACTGTCTTAAAACAATTCACGTATCGCGACCACCAAGACGTAAGCTGGCGCTGACGTCTGCGAGAAATTGCGTAGAAATGTTTTCCAAAAAATTTAAAACTTGGCCATACTCCAAAGTTTTATCGATTGATCCTGAATAACAGGTCTTGAGTATTTCTGAGAAGAACTAGTACTGTATAGAGAGAATTGCAAAAAATTGGAGCGGAACCAAGATGCTGTTGAACGAAGAGCGAAGTTTTGGTAATGGAACGATTGAGACATAAATATTGCGGAGATGCTGGATCAAAGTGTTGTATTCAAGGTAATTTGTGCGGTTGGATTATTTTTCCTGATGCAGTTGATGTTCTTCTGGTCTAAACTTGAGAATCTTGACGAGAAAAAGTTGACTATTGAGGCTGAAATTGAAACAGTCATAAGGAAACGTGATAATTTGCAAATGAAATCATGGGAATTGCAAAAGGATATTCATCGAATGGAATTACGACTGCAACAAATCGAACAAAAGTATGTGTCCGCCGTATTGCCGTATCAATTCCAATATCATCACTCTAATTCAGTTGCAGAAAGCTCCAAATAATGCAAAATTTAGCGTGAGAACTGTACGCGATCAAAAGTAAGGCAGAGGAAAAGGAAGTGTCTAAACGGGATGAAGAGCCATTTCTGTTTCGTCTTCAAAACAGCACCTGATATTTTCCAGCACTTTTTGTGCTACCCATGAGATCAGACTGAAACACAGAACTCATTTTAGAGTACGTGATCGTTTACCGCTGGCTGAAAGCCGAAGAAATCTGCCAATGATATATTTCATAACTCCAACGTATTACAGGCCTACTCAAAAAGCTGATTTAACACGCTTAGCACAAACACTCGGTATGTATCTATGTTTCATCAGTGAAATTAGAGTGGTGATTTGGCAGACTTATTAAAAAGTTAAATGATTTGATGTCTCACCTAATCTCACTTTTGTCATTCTATTATTAATGCATCTCATGTTCACCAGTGCTACCTTTATTAGGCAGTCGTTTAAGCAAACGTGCCGAATTTGTATTGGATCGTGGTCGAAGATGCTGAAACAAAATCAAATACAGTGGCAGCAATCTTGGAACGAACTCACCTCCCATGCACGCATTTAAATGCTCTAACGCCAGCGAGTATGAAGCTAAATGACACTGACCCTAACTGGAAATTACCCAGAGGAGTGTTGCAAAGAAATGCCGCGCTTAACTGGCTCAGGTGGATATTTTCTTTGTCAATTTCTTTTTTTTTTGAAATTGATATAGTGTCAGAGTGCGATGATGAGTTTGAAAGAATGAGAAATTGCAATACTTGATTGAATCGTTCTTTTAAAAATGTTATGTTTAAATTGAGGGTAAACTTTGGTACTCTGAAGCGTGGGGTAGTTTATTTTGGTGACGATGATAATACTTACGATTGGCGATTATTCGATGAAATGCGATTCATCGATAAGCTCGGCGTATGGCCTGTTGGAATTGTTGGCGGTTTACTCGTTGAAACACCGATTCTCAATGAAGGTGTTGTTGTCATCGTCATTCCGCACTTGCACTAGTTATCAGTAATTCATTCATTTTCTTATTGTAATTACAGTCAAGTGCACTTCAATGAAAAATTGGTCGGATGAATTTTTTGGTTTCCTGTTGGCAACATTCGCTCACCAAATTTATCACATATCGAAGACCGTATAGTTTCACCTATTTTAAAACAATTTAGAGGTCAAAAGTGACTAGAAATTCTCAGAATTTCTAGGGATAATTAGAATTCCGAAGTTCATTAGGAGAGTAAACGTTTGCATAAATCTGAGCCACTGTCGCAGATTGGAAAGTATGGGAATGGAACATTTTGTAATCAGATCAGTGGAACAGTTAAACAATCAGTTTCAGAGAATCAGTCGGTTTTATCGTTTAATTCAATCTGGAAACCTGAAAGACCATTTCCAATTGATATGGCTGCGTTTGCTGTGAATCTTTCGTTGCTGTTAGAGCATCATGATGCAGCATTCAGTTATAATGTACCGAGAGGTTATCAGGTTAGATTTATTATCTCTTCATCTTTCTTTTCGTTATATTAATCGGAACTCCTCGGCTTCTTATCAATAAGGATATGTAATTATGATTATGGCAGTTTTTTTTTGATAACGTTGAACACTTCGATGGCCTATCATCTACATTGAATTTATCACATTCGTATCTGTACTGAGATACATTAATTCACTTTGAATTTTACTCATCAAAAAACTGAACAAACGTCTTTTCAATCCATCGCTGTCTCGGAAAAAACAACTCATTTTGTGGTCATTGACTGGTTCTAATTATTTGTTTGGATTTGCAGGAATCTCATTTTTTAACATCTCTGGAGTTAACAAGATCAGATCTAGAACCAAAAGCGAATGGATGTCGAAATGTTCTTGTTTGGCACACTCGCACTGAGAAAGCCAAGTTAATTAATAGTGAAAAAAATAAATTTGTATGGAAAGACCTCAGCGGTTTGGAATTGGATGCAGTTGGGTGAGTGCATGACTGGTATTGGTTGGTGATTATGAAAAGCACAGCTCCCCCCCCCCCCCCCCCCCCCCCCCCTCTTGCCCTCATCCTGTCGCCCTTAAATAAAATTCAAATTAGCCATTTCATCATATTTACACGAGATACAAAGCTTTTAAATGACGAAGAAGATAGAACCAGGTAATACACGTTTCTCCTCGTTCCGCCAAGCTTCAAGTAGCCTTACGTAAATCACATGCTGCAATTACGGATGTGGAATGGCGGTATCGCAACGAGCTGAACGCAGTCATATCTCAGGGACATATATTAAGGATGAGTTTTTCTGATAATATAATGAAATTGTAGAGATATCTAAGGGTGGTTGTTTATACTATCAGTAACTTGCTGTTCGTTTTAGAAATAACATCATTCAGTAGTGGTTTTGAAAATAATATTTTAGAAATCATTACGGGAGGAAATACTGTTATCCATTATGTATTTTTAATTAAAATGCTTACTGACATGGTCAGATTCTACCTTTTAATTTGTGCATTATTCAGTCTAGTCCATGTGGTTCTTACGAAGTATTATCAAGCTTTTAAAATTTTTGTGCAGTTTCATGATTTTGCTAGTTTTGTATGTTCTTTGCTGAAACATGTTTGAATGTCTCATGAATTTTAGTAGTCTCATAAATGTTGTGTAGTTAACGAATTTTGATGATTGGTTGGTCGTTTATCTGATTGCGTAAAAATATTTATCAAAACCTAGTGTGCATTCATTGGCATCAGAATGTCCTATGAACGTTCAACATTTGTGAATTTGCAATCCCTAAAAATGTCAACTCCAAAAGTTATCGAGAGGAGAATGTGGGAAAGATGAAGATGAGAAGATGTGCAAATTTAAATCTGAATCTGAGGCCAATGTTTCAGACTACGGTTTCATGGAGGAAAGGGACATTTTGGAATAAGATGTTATTTGTATGCATGCGAATAATTGTTGAATGATGTACATCAATTACTTGCTTTGTTGAAATGTGTTTTTTTCTGGATCAAACGGGTTATTGTTTTATTTTTAAAGCATAATCTCATACAAAATCGAGTTGATTGTGATTATTTCTATAATTCCTTTTTGTAAAGATGAATAAACATGACTTAATGAATAAACACATTGAACGGAATGTGCGTTTAACGTTCTTGAAATATAATGTGTTGTTAATTTTTCAAAACCCATGAATATTCGAACAATTATAATTTTATAACAATATTGGTATTGTGCTATGAACACTTCCCAATACTCAACATTTCTTATAATTGCTGTGTCAGTACCAGGCTAACAGTTAGGCGGTCGTTCTTCATTCTTGTCTCTGAACGTTAATAATGTAGAAGGGTGGACGTAAAGTGAATGAAAGTTAGTGTTAGTTTTATTCATTGTCAGTTGAATTTGAGGCACGTTCATAAAGGTGATTGAGATGAACGAAATTCACATAAACAGCCTAGTGCAGGTAGTTTATTCATTTTGACTGTGGTGCATAATTCGCGTACACTTCGAATTATTTGCCAGATCGAGTTGAATTCTGTTAGTGTCTAACTGAAGCCGAGTTGCGTTAAAAATTTTTTTCCACTCAACATATCATTGCTTCCGATTATGTTCTGTGTTTAATCAACATTATTTGTGGATGTTTTAATTTAAACTATTACAGCTGATCATTAGTCACCTAAATGGATCTGTCTCATACATCGTTATGAATCAAAATCTTACCTTGAGTTTCACTTTACTGAATACAGTAATCTGTTTCGATTCAAGTTTTATTGTTTTGTACCATATGACGACGTTCCCTTGGAATATATCTGGTGAATGATCGATTTCTTTCCAATCAATGCTTTTAGGTTGAACTAGAAGTACTTCATTCAAGTGTTCACACAAAAATGGGTGAACGTAAAGGACAAAACTTTTACTATCCGCCTGATTTCGATTACAAGAAGCATAAATCGTTGAATTCCTATCATGGAACACACGCACTTCGAGAACGTGCCGCTAAAATCAAACAAGGCATTCTCATTATTCGGTTAGTCTTTTGTTCATAACTTTATTTAATTCAATTGCATTTTCCCGTCCACACAAATGAACAGATAATGACGTCGTCAAATATGACAATTACTTCTGCTCAGCCTCCACCCTCATCCTCAATTGTGCTCTGATTGTGATCAGAACCAATCACCTCACATCATGAACTGAATATTAAACGTAAAACTTTCATTATGTGATTCGGATGGAAGCGATTATAATGATGATAAAATGAATTGAAGTACAATTCAGATTCGAAATGCCATTCAACATTTGGTGTTTGGGATGTAATAATCATGTGGGAATGGGTGTTCGTTACAATGCTGAAAAGAAGAAAGTTGGAATGTATTACACAACACCATTGTATGAATTTCGCATGAAATGCCACCTTTGCGATAATTATTTCGTTATTCGAACCGATCCGGAGGTATTTCATTGATCGACTTGCACACTCATTATTGCTTTCTAATTGTCGATTCCCAAATTCATCTAACCCTAACTTGCGTTCGTATAAATTGCAGAGTAAAATGTAACAAGGCTGGTTAACTGAATCCATAAATATTCAAGCTAAATTTCACTTACTTCACTTCGTCGTCAATTTCTGAAGGAATTTGAATTATGAAAAAAAGTGTCATAATGTCAAATTTCAAATTAATATAATGTAACTGACTTCATGCGGTTAAAATTTCAGCATTTTGATTATGAACTTGTGGAAGGATGCAGACGGCAGGAGAAGCGTTACGATCCATCTACGATTAATCAGTTGGGTGCTGTCGATAGGACATTCAATCGACAACTGGAGGGTGATAAAATGTTCAAGGTGACAAATATGTTATTATTAGTTTTTGTTATCATTGCTCATCACTCATGGTACTTCGGATGTGCTCAGAATTGCGCTCATCTGTTTACAGTTTTGCAGTAAATTTAGAAATAATTCTGAGTGAGGCAAATTTATGAAGCTAATTGCAATCGTTCACTACGGAATCGATTATTTTCATTTGATCCAGTAGCACTGTAATTCATTTGTTCCATTGATGCATTTTTAGTTCATGAATGATTTATTTAGGTGGAGCATGAAGAAAAAGATAAAACAAAAGGTATCGAATCTGGCAATCAAATGGAGACACTGGAGTGGATTCAAGAGCGAATGCGTGATGATTTTGCGGCCAATCAAGCGTTACGGCGAAAGTTTCGAGTAAATTGAAAGAATCTTCTCTTTTGCTAGCTTAAGAATAATTTTAATTATATTCGATGTGTTTAACAGCTTCATTTAATGATGTAACATCAGAATCCGTTTTAACAATATTTAACAATATTGTTAAAATAACACTGAATATAATATAACATTGAACATTGACATTGAATATAATATAACATTGAATACAATATTGTAACATAATATTATTGTTTTAACAATAATATCGTTTTAACAACATCCGTTTAAACAATATTTCGAGTCCAAAATGAACGTTCAAAAATTATTCTGGAGCATCACAATTGTTGTATTTAAACATAGTTGGCCATTGCTTGAACCTTGTTGTGAGTGTCATACAAACACTTATTTAGCAGTATTTCCAATCCTAATTCATTTAAGCACGAAAAACAGCAACTGAAAGACCAACGAGTGGTCGACGATGATTTATTGCGGAGAAGCTCACTGAATATGAAGTTATTGCCGGAAAGTGATGAAGACAAAACGATTGCATCGGCAATTTCTAAATGCAGAAATATTTCGTGTAAGTGAGTTTGTGTTTTTATACGCGGCTCGTTACAGTATGAATGAAAGTCTTGAAGTTGTTATTGGGAACGAGTCGGTCGATTAAGAAGTTACTATTTTAGAAATTAAATGATTGGTGGGGATTAAAAGAACTGTTACAATAATGCTTTCTGCACGATTGTATTAGTAATGCACAAATCAGATCTGTCACATTTCAACTTTACTTCTCTATGATGGCGAAATCGCAAACTGAACGCATTAAATTTCCTTTGATGAGAGCACACTTTGTTTATTCATGATCGATTTCCTTCATGTCCGGCACATTTTAGATTTACCAGGGAGTTTTCTCCTCTATTTCTTGCTAGATTACTGATCTGCTTGTAATTGGTTGATAATAAATGAAAGCTATAGATCTATGAATGACATCTACTTTCCAGCGAGTTGTTAAAACGATATCATCGACCCAGCCAGTCGATGGATGAGGAGTATGAAAAGAGTTTCACACGAACTTTGACTGATGGGCCAGTTATCGAAAACACTGTTGATCTATTCTTTTTTTTTAGCATATGAGCAGCAGCAAAACGAAATTCGTTCATCGATAAATAATCGTTCAATTTTCAAAGCGTCGCCGTCGAACTCAAAATCATCAGTGATAAATGCTAAATTGATCAGTCCCAAAAAAACCCTCTCAGAATGCCTGAAGCGGAAACAATTATCAGATGCTTTTGATAGCGGTTCATCATCATCTTGCGCTCAGGCTAAAAGTTCTCTGACGAGAACTGATATTGGTGTTAAACTGAATACGCCAAAGAACAATTCTACCAGTCGAACACAACAAACAATTGTGAAAGACGAAACGAATATCCCATGTAAAGTTGAGGTAAGCTGAGATGAGTTTATCATTTGCTGAATGTTTGCATAATTTTGTTCATTTATTAAGTAGTTTATTAGTTCTTTATTTTTACTGATCCGTTGAAATGTGTCTAAATTCGAAACTCATTCGCTAACAAAACGGATGTAATCCTCCTCAAGAATCAATCAACCATTCACATCATCAAAACAGCATTTTACCGCATAAATCTTCAGATCGAGAAAGAAGTAGAAAGGAACAGTAGTGAAGGAGTGATGAGAAAGCAGCAAACTTTAACTGACCAATCTATGCATGCAAAAAAAGAATGTTCGAAAACAGTTGACTATGTGGCGTGCAACAAGTCAAATTTATCATTGGTCGCCGATTACGATAGTTCGAATTCATCGGATAATGATGCTTCATCATTGAAATAAGTTTTGTGTCTCTCGCATTTCATTTACGATCCAAATCAAAATTTATGCTCGAATACGGTTTTGCACTCTGTCGATATGCGTCATTTTATTGAAGTTTTTACTTGATATTGCAAATGATTATTTATCGAATTGTATTTTTGTTCTGTTCAAGTATTCTTTGTTTTTTTTNTTTTTTTTCTTTTTATGTCTAGTTTCTTATCGTTATATTATTAGACAGAGGTATGCACACCATTTTCATAAAACAGTTTATGTATATATTTAGATTTGAGAGTATATTTGTGAAGCAAGTGTAAGTATTTTTGAAGCCCGTCTTTTCTAAGGAATGCTCTTTAGCTATGTGCAAAATGATATATTCCGAACTGGAAGTTGTTGAAATGAATTGAAATATGTTTGTGATAACTGTTTAATTTCGAACTATTTGATGATTGCGATGAATAACAAGAATAATACAGTTTCGTTTTATAATAAATATATGTTTGATTCGACGATATTTTATCGAGATGTTGCTGTCTATGTGTTTTGATGAGCGGCGATTGATTATGAAGTGTTGTTGAGTCATCAACTGAATCAGCCTTCTTACATCATGCTTCAAAAATGGAATTTTTGTTTGTGTTTCGATTAGCACAGGTTTATTCATCTTTGTTTGTTTATTTTACGGGTTTATGACATTATAGTTTTTTTTCTGTTGATGTGTTCTTCTCCTATAAGGTGAATGTAATATGTGAAATCTTTGTAGTGAATATATGTAATTGACATGCCGTAGAAGTTGTTGATATCTTGTTTTGTTCGGATGTCTTTTCTATGATCGAAGTGTATCCTCATGTAATAAAAGATTATTATTCCTTTGCACTCATTCAAACTCTTATTGTACGCATTCATGCATGCAAGTAGATCTTCAGTATAAACTTGGAGTGGTTTGCTTTTCGGATCTTTTAAGTGCAGAGGTTTTGGGCTTTATTATTGATACCGAGATATTACTGATTTACTACTGTTGGTTGTTCCAGACAGCTACTCTGAACGATGGTTGGACGAATGTTCAGTCGATCAATCGGAATGTATCTTCGGGTTCCTTTTGAGTCCCTTTCCCTAGAAATCATTGGGCAATATGGGAGAGTAGTCTATAACCTCTGTGCTTGCCAAATCAATAATACAAGTTCGAATTTCATGAAGACATGAATCCCAACGTTATTACCGTTAGCTGCGAGGAAAGAAGAATGCCAAGGAAGGAAGAATGTCATAGTGATATTGGTCATAGTAGTGGTGTTGGTGATAGTTATAATGATAATATTGGTTATAGTGATATTGGTAATAACAGAGAGGCATAAACTCGTAATAAGTTGGATTTGCTGATTAAATGAATGTATTATATAATAATTAAATAAATAAAAGTAAATAAATCTTGAATTTACGAACGTCTTACACAGGAAGAATTATTTTAAAAATTGAATATAGATTGGGAAGTTGCTATTAAAGGCATCTTAAAAATAGGCATATAACCTGACACGAACTACATGGGAAAGGAGAAGGAGCGAATGCAGAGTAAAGTGAGCATAATGCATTTGATATGTCATTCCGAGCATAATTCATGCACACTCAACTTTATTCTGTCAGTGTTGAATTATAATAATGGCAACAAATAATAAAAGTTATGATAACAATAACACTGGTCACAAGCACAGTGAAATGAATCACTGCACGGTAATGCCGGATTTTTTAAGTTATAGAACAAACAATACCCTCGGATTAGCGAACTGATAGGGAGAAGTATGGTCCGATAGATTGTTTCAAAGGGTGAGTGTATTAATTGTGAGTGATGATGATGTTACAGAAAGAATTTATCGCGATAAGCGTATTACTGATGACTGTTGCATTCACAGTTTGTACATTTATTGCAATTATCATTAATAACATTCAATAGAAATAGAAATTTAATTTTACCGTTGCCACTTGCGAGAATTAAAGGCTTAAGAATATAACAGTTTAGTAATAATTTGGTTTTCATTATGTAAACAGATCGTTATCATCGTACGACAGTAACTCATTCCAAAATTTCGTTGTTATCATTTAAGTATTCGCTTTGCTGAAGAAGTAAAAATTTTCCTACATTCAGTGCAAAGTAATGGAATATTAAATTTGCCGAAACATGCTCAACATTTGAATAAATTTAATATGACGCACCTTATGAAATGAGACATACGTCTACCTTTGGCTGATTGAGATTTTGTCCGTAAGGTAAGATTGTTTAAGGTAAGCGTTGAATCGAAGTGCCTTAAAACGACATATGAATGCGACTATACACTACACATTCGGTATTTTTCGAACAGCCCTCTCTGAGATACACCGTAATACCGTCAGTAAAACAATGTGTATCATAGTTGCATTCTGAATGAAATCGACATATATCTACCGTTATAGAACGTTTTCAACGAGATTATATTATTTACATTAGCAGTTTTAGTTTGAAATAAGCTGTCATCATCCGGAATGATGTCTGCCTCTTTGAGAGAAAGACGCGTTGCCTTGTTTATTGATGTATGTCGTTCCGAAAGTGTGATGAAAAATTTATTGGTGAAACCGAAAGCATTTCTCGGATCACGATGAATAGGTGATATTATCTAATGCATATTTTTCTGTGCCTTCCCACAATTTGATATCATAATGTTGTGAACTATTACTGGAAAATTACTGCTAAAAATAGCTGAAACAAAATATGAGACCAAGGTTGAGTTGTTTGATTTGAGCAGCATCTCGTTGTCGAAAGGGAACGTGCCAAAATTGGATACGTTCTCTGAATTACTTTTTGAAGAAATTAAATTATTTATCACTGCGATACCGTGACACCTCTTAGTCATATAAACAGTCATACATTCTTAAAATACCAGTAGTTCATAAGGAACTATTATTGATTTTGACTGATATTCCATTATCAGTGCTTCATAAGGAACTATTACTGATGTTGACTGATATTCCATTATCAGTGCTTCATTGTAATACTAAATTTTTTAATGTTGTCTGATGTCAGCCTCATCAAAGTATATTCCTTCACTGACTCATCTACAATGAAAGTAATGATTCACTACGACTCCAACAATCAAAATTTGAAAGGAATCAAAAAGCATATATTATGTGGACCTTATAAGTCTATTTCAGTCACTTATCGTACGTTTCGTGAGGAAAAATGCACTGAAAGAATTCACGAACAGTTCATGCAACTACTATTCGGTTTCATTTCTAATTCCTTCATTGACCTCGAATTTTCAGAATTCAGAGAATACGGTAAATAAAGTGAATGGAGTTACTGAGCTCTGAAAAGTGATGATGATTGTGTTCGTCTCAAAAGTATTCGACAAAGATTTTTCAGAGATCGATCGAAACATCTTCATGGGAGATGGGGTACTGAAAGCTTCCAGCGGTTCTAAGAGTGCAACAAATATCTGTGTTCATTTTAAAAAGAGCTTGTTATCACGATACGATAATAATTCATTTCACCAAATATGACTGCATTTACACTTGCATACGTCACCAGCTTCAGTTCTCAAAGAACGCGATTCTCGCGTTTTATTCGTCTTTTTCGGTTGTTATCAATGTTATCATTCATCTCCCAAAGCATTTATAATTGAAGGTTCACATAACGGTTTGTTTTAATGGTCGTTTGCGAATACCATCTCGACCACATCGCATTTCAGCTGAAACATTGTCCGTTTAGTATAGCTGATACATTGAGAGTCTGTCAAATCTCTGTTTCCTTTCAATATCCATT